GATAAGTTGACAAAACTTTCGAATAACAAAAGTACAAGTGCGAAATGCTAGTGGTCGAAGATGATACCATGGCATATGACGCTATTATCAGTGTTGACTCATTGTTTGCGATAACACCCGAAAATTTTAAGTGCAACGAGAATTTTTCGGTAAACGAACAAAATGAGTTGCTTAATTTATTAAATAAATATTATGATTGTTTTGGCGAAAATCTAAATAAACTCGGTAAGACGAAAACAACGAAAATGGAGATCGCGGTTACATCTCCAACGCCGATAACAAAAAAACCTTACAAATTACCAATTTCTAAACAGGATGTCGTGGAACGAAGTGTTGACGAATTATTAGAGTTAAATATTATTCGAACATCAACTTCAGAATACCTGTCTCCTATTGTTCTTGTACCAAAATCGAATGGTAAAAAAAGATTTTTCACGACTTTGGATATGATGTCAGGTTATTATCAGATTGAAATTGCTGAATCATCGAAAAAGCTGACAGCGTTCGTCACTCATAATGGGAACTATGAGTTTAATCGAATGCCATTTAGCTTCAAAAACGTTCCGTCCATATTTCAAAAAATGATGAAACTTATGAAACCGCTGAGAGTTAAAGTGGTTAGTTACGTCGATGAAGTCATTGTGGCATCTGAAACAGCACAAGAAGGGCTTGATAATTTAGAAAATTTTGAAAATTATTCGTATTGAAGGCTTGACATTACTCTTTTCGATATTTTTTTTTTCATGAAAAGCAGTGTATCGTTTTTAGGTCATCATAAAACCTGGTCTAACAAAAACCATTGCGATAACACAATTTCGTTTACCAACGAATGTAACAGAAGTCAGACGTTTCTTGGGACTAACAGGTTACTTCAGGAAATTTGTTCAAAACTATGCGAAAAATGCTCATCCGTTACACAGTTAACGAGAAAGAATATTGCTTTTAAATGGTCATCGGAATCTGAAAGTGCTTTCCTCAAACTAATTAAATTGTTAGCTAATGAGCCGCTTTTGGGAATATATGACATTAACAAAGAACAAGAACTTCATACTGACGCAAGTAGTATTGGACTTGCACCCCATAGCATATTTTATTCGGTTATGTATAGATGTTGAAAGTAAATATCATGGATATGAATTTAAAGTTTTAGCGGTAGTTAAAGCATGTCAATGTTTTCGAATGTATCTTTTGGGCACACATTTTAAAATTATTACGAATTGTTCAGCTATTTCCAGTATTAAAACAGTAACACCAATGATTCCACGAGTCGCACGATGGCTGTTAAAATTGCTGGAATATGATTACACTTCCAGCCATCGCGCAGGTAAATGAATGGCTCATGTTGATGCAATGAGTCGAGCTCCTGTTGAACTGCCATGCGAAGTGGATGATGTGTCTGCAAATATAATGATGATTGACATTTCAAATGAGGATTTGATTTTGACGATGCAACAGCAAGATGCAAATTTACAACAGATTATTGATATTTTAAAAAGACGTATCGATTCAACACAGCGAGAGCAGCATGAGAAAGAATTCATTTTAAAGGGAAATTGGCTCTATGGAAGACATCATGATGGGAAAGATTTACTGGTCATACCGAAAGGAATACGATGGAGAATTGTGAGACTTTGCCATGATGATGCTAGTCATCCAGGTGTGGATGACACAATAAAACATATTAAACAACATTTTTGGTTTCCCCGATGTCGAAATTTTGTTAAGGAGTACATCAAATCCTGCGTTGAATGTTGTTACAATCGAAGTACGGCAAAGAAAGAATGTCAACTATATGGTATTGAGATACCAAGGGTGCCGTTCGAGGTAATACATATGAACCATCTAGGACCTTTCATTAGAAGCTGCAGTGGTAATGAATATATCATAGTGATCGTTGATGCACTAACTAGATATGTTGTAACTGTCGCTGTTAGATTAACGAAAACCTCTCTCGTCATCGTCATCACACACAAAAGATTGGAACACAAAACTTCGTTGCTTACAATGGAAGATAAATACAACAATAAATTCGACAACAAAATATTCCTCCATTAAACTAATTAACGATTTTCCGTTAAAAGACATCAGTGGAAATAAACTGTTTGCTGCTGCAACAGATAAAAATGTCAATATCAATAGCCACGAATTAAGCGCGTGTCGTGAGTCCAAGCACAGGCGAGTCAAGAAAGCTTGGCATTAAAAATCGCGGGTCATACGAAGTAAAGAAAGTTTTGCTATTTGACAGGTATGTCATTGGAGACATGGTAGGTGAAAAAAGAAAACAGCGTCGGTATAGCACAGTCATTAGCAGTGATAAACTGAAACCATGGTGTTCATTATTTCCTACAGTCGACGATGACTACGATAAAGATTACGATATTAACATATAGTAAACTTGTAACTCGAGAACGAGTTAATATCAGGATGGTCGAACTGTTACTCTTTTTTATTTTTATTTATTGCTCATATTGTTACTTCTTTTGTAGTATTGCTCATATGTATCTTTTCATGCTCTCATGCTTGTTATGCTCTCGGAGTGTAGTAGTGTAAGAATTATAATAAAGAAATGAAAGTAAGTTTGACGGGACACTCTTAAGTACGCGGATGTGTTTTATTTAAACGCGGCGTCTGACACTAGTTCGTAAGAGTTTTTGATGTCATAATCAAATGACATGAGTGGTTTTAGAATTATATAGATTATAAAAGATTAAATAAAATAATTTTTATTTGTATTCTATAAGACTATATTTTATAATAAATTCTTGTGTAATTCTAGATAGATCAAAAATATTATAAACTTTGTAGTAAATATTACGAAATTCTGATGGAAATTCGTTCGATATATTGTTATTGTCTATAAGATTTTAGATTCTAATATACAAGAAGCTTGAAATTTCACAATTCACAATTTTTTTTTACTGTTATTCTTTTATAAATTCAAATCTTTTTTAAGACTTCACAATAAAAAGAATCAGATCTAGTTTTAGTAATTTTAAAAGGAAGGATGATCAACCCTGATACTTTGGCAACTTGGTTAAAAACAATAATATTTTAAAGTGTGATAAATATTGATTTACAGAATTAGGTTTAAATTCCTCTCATTTTTTTTTATTAATTAATAAATTTAGAAATCTTTGGAATAGTCTTAAATCGTTTCTTTAACAAATTAAAAATATGTTTTATCATGTCTAATCACTTACCTATTTACTTTTTTTCGAAAAAGGGGTTATTAAAATCACAACTATGTTAGTTGTGGAACGTGCTTCAATATTTATTACAATTAAATATCAAAAAATGTACATTTTGGTGTTATATTTGTTCATTATAATGGTAAAAACGGGACCGGTTTGTTATAATTGTCGGGAGTATGGGCACATTTCGAAAAATTGTGCAAAACCGCAACGAAAGCCGCGTTGTTCAATGTGTTCAGGAAACCATGACACAAAAACGTGTAATAAACGAAATCCAGTAAATGCGATTGAAAAACCTGGTATAATAATTAAACAAATATATATTAACAATATCTTATGTAACGCTTTGATTGATTCAGGCAGTGACGTGTCTATAATTAAGCGTAATATAGCCATTATATTGAAGTGCAAACGAAGAAAATGTGTAAACACTTTAAACGGTTTTGCCGGTAGCGAATATTTGTGTTCCGAAAAGACCGATAAGTTGACAAAACTTTCGAATAACAAAAGTACAAGTGCGAAATGCTAGTGGTCGAAGATGATACCATGGCATATGACGCTATTATCAGTGTTGACTCATTGTTTGCGATAACACCCGAAAATTTTAAGTGCAACGAGAATTTTTCGGTAAACGAACAAAATGAGTTGCTTAATTTATTAAATAAATATTATGATTGTTTTGGCGAAAATCTAAATAAACTCGGTAAGACGAAAACAACGAAAATGGAGATCGCGGTTACATCTCCAACGCCGATAACAAAAAAACCTTACAAATTACCAATTTCTAAACAGGATGTCGTGGAACGAAGTGTTGACGAATTATTAGAGTTAAATATTATTCGAACATCAACTTCAGAATACCTGTCTCCTATTGTTCTTGTACCAAAATCGAATGGTAAAAAAAGATTTTTCACGACTTTGGATATGATGTCAGGTTATTATCAGATTGAAATTGCTGAATCATCGAAAAAGCTGACAGCGTTCGTCACTCATAATGGGAACTATGAGTTTAATCGAATGCCATTTAGCTTCAAAAACGTTCCGTCCATATTTCAAAAAATGATGAAACTTATGAAACCGCTGAGAGTTAAAGTGGTTAGTTACGTCGATGAAGTCATTGTGGCATCTGAAACAGCACAAGAAGGGCTTGATAATTTAGAAAATTTTGAAAATTATTCGTATTGAAGGCTTGACATTACTCTTTTCGATATTTTTTTTTCATGAAAAGCAGTGTATCGTTTTTAGGTCATCATAAAACCTGGTCTAACAAAAACCATTGCGATAACACAATTTCGTTTACCAACGAATGTAACAGAAGTCAGACGTTTCTTGGGACTAACAGGTTACTTCAGGAAATTTGTTCAAAACTATGCGAAAAATGCTCATCCGTTACACAGTTAACGAGAAAGAATATTGCTTTTAAATGGTCATCGGAATCTGAAAGTGCTTTCCTCAAACTAATTAAATTGTTAGCTAATGAGCCGCTTTTGGGAATATATGACATTAACAAAGAACAAGAACTTCATACTGACGCAAGTAGTATTGGACTTGCACCCCATAGCATATTTTATTCGGTTATGTATAGATGTTGAAAGTAAATATCATGGATATGAATTTAAAGTTTTAGCGGTAGTTAAAGCATGTCAATGTTTTCGAATGTATCTTTTGGGCACACATTTTAAAATTATTACGAATTGTTCAGCTATTTCCAGTATTAAAACAGTAACACCAATGATTCCACGAGTCGCACGATGGCTGTTAAAATTGCTGGAATATGATTACACTTCCAGCCATCGCGCAGGTAAATGAATGGCTCATGTTGATGCAATGAGTCGAGCTCCTGTTGAACTGCCATGCGAAGTGGATGATGTGTCTGCAAATATAATGATGATTGACATTTCAAATGAGGATTTGATTTTGACGATGCAACAGCAAGATGCAAATTTACAACAGATTATTGATATTTTAAAAAGACGTATCGATTCAACACAGCGAGAGCAGCATGAGAAAGAATTCATTTTAAAGGGAAATTGGCTCTATGGAAGACATCATGATGGGAAAGATTTACTGGTCATACCGAAAGGAATACGATGGAGAATTGTGAGACTTTGCCATGATGATGCTAGTCATCCAGGTGTGGATGACACAATAAAACATATTAAACAACATTTTTGGTTTCCCCGATGTCGAAATTTTGTTAAGGAGTACATCAAATCCTGCGTTGAATGTTGTTACAATCGAAGTACGGCAAAGAAAGAATGTCAACTATATGGTATTGAGATACCAAGGGTGCCGTTCGAGGTAATACATATGAACCATCTAGGACCTTTCATTAGAAGCTGCAGTGGTAATGAATATATCATAGTGATCGTTGATGCACTAACTAGATATGTTGTAACTGTCGCTGTTAGATTAACGAAAACCTCTCTCGTCATCGTCATCACACACAAAAGATTGGAACACAAAACTTCGTTGCTTACAATGGAAGATAAATACAACAATAAATTCGACAACAAAATATTCCTCCATTAAACTAATTAACGATTTTCCGTTAAAAGACATCAGTGGAAATAAACTGTTTGCTGCTGCAACAGATGAAAATGTCAATATCAATAGCCACGAATTAAGCGCGTGTCGTGAGTCCAAGCACAGGCGAGTCAAGAAAGCTTGGCATTAAAAATCGCGGGTCATACGAAGTAAAGAAAGTTTTGCTATTTGACAGGTATGTCATTGGAGACATGGTAGGTGAAAAAAGAAAACAGCGTCGGTATAGCACAGTCATTAGCAGTGATAAACTGAAACCATGGTGTTCATTATTTCCTACAGTCGACGATGACTACGATAAAGATTACGATATTAACATATAGTAAACTTGTAACTCGAGAACGAGTTAATATCAGGATGGTCGAACTGTTACTCTTTTTTATTTTTATTTATTGCTCATATTGTTACTTCTTTTGTAGTATTGCTCATATGTATCTTTTCATGCTCTCATGCTTGTTATGCTCTCGGAGTGTAGTAGTGTAAGAATTATAATAAAGAAATGAAAGTAAGTTTGACGGGACACTCTTAAGTACGCGGATGTGTTTTATTTAAACGCGGCGTCTGACACTAGTTCGTAAGAGTTTTTGATGTCATAATCAAATGACATGAGTGGTTTTAGAATTATATAGATTATAAAAGATTAAATAAAATAATTTTTATTTGTATTCTATAAGACTATATTTTATAATAAATTCTTGTGTAATTCTAGATAGATCAAAAATATTATAAACTTTGTAGTAAATATTACGAAATTCTGATGGAAATTCGTTCGATATATTGTTATTGTCTATAAGATTTTAGATTCTAATATACAAGAAGCTTGAAATTTCACAATTCACAATTTTTTTTTACTGTTATTCTTTTATAAATTCAAATCTTTTTTAAGACTTCACAATAAAAAGAATCAGATCTAGTTTTAGTAATTTTAAAAGGAAGGATGATCAACCCTGATACTTTGGCAACTTGGTTAAAAACAATAATATTTTAAAGTGTGATAAATATTGATTTACAGAATTAGGTTTAAATTCCTCTCATTTTTTTTTATTAATTAATAAATTTAGAAATCTTTGGAATAGTCTTAAATCGTTTCTTTAACAAATTAAAAATATGTTTTATCATGTCTAATCACTTACCTATTTACTTTTTTTCGAAAAAGGGGTTATTAAAATCACAACTATGTTAGTTGTGGAACGTGCTTCAATATTTATTACAATTAAATATCAAAAAATGTACATTTTGGTGTTATATTTGTTCATTATAATATAATTTTTTTTATTAGGTTCCTGTTGGTTTTAAAGGAACTGTAGTTGGTATTCACACTGTAACTGATTCTAATCCTGTACGGCTGGAGTACGTAAAAACAGTTGAAAACTTTTATGAAATTTTATTTGATAAAAGTTTCACAGGTGGTAACGATATTTATGGATTGGCACCGGGACATGTATCTAAAGTTCCTGAATCTTCTCTGCTTTTAATTATTCCAGGTAAATATAAAAATATTTCTATTAATTTTTTTATTGTGATTTTATTGTTTTAAACGTGGTTTGAAGATAATTGTAAAATAAGAGGCCAAGCAGAACAAAACTTACAACCGTTCGATAATGAAAATTGTGTTGCATTTAGAGGTGTAGAATCAAATAAAAATAATGGCTATAATAACATATCAAATGTTGTAGATACTTCAAAAAATATCGATGCCAAATCAATACAAAAAAATAAAAATTTCCAAAAAAAATCTAGTAACTATTTTTGGACTCCAATACATTCGTTACCAGCGAATAGCAACGAGTTTTGGACTCCAACGCAAACAGATATTGTTCATGAAGTCACCAAAAACAACCAATCCTCAAAAGCAAGTGCAGGTACAGATTTAAATTTTGGTATACGATTCCCTGAAAATACGAGTTTAGGGCACTTTACGCATTCTTATCAGCCATCTACTCAAGAATCAACACAATTTAAAATAATGAAAAAAACTATACAAAAAACTCCAAACGTTGAGATTGATTATAATTCAAAAACAAATGCTTTGAAGTTTTTACTTGGGATTCACATGGATAAAACTTTTGAAAATTGTGAAAAATTTAAGGTAAATTTATTGATAAACACCCAAAGCAAAAAAACCGCACTCATATAAATTTTGATATTCGTAGTTTATCGTTTTCAATTATTGTGAGATATTCGTTTTTTGCTTTTTTTTACATTTTTGTTGTTTTGTGGGTAATTTGTTTGAATGGATTTTGTTATTGTACTACGAAATATTTTGCCTGTAGACATAGCTAAATAACCACACTTGTATTCATTTTAGAAGAGTACACTTTAATAAAAGGTCAGAGTGCCGCCTTTTAAAGAAATACCGAAAAACTTATCAATTAAAGGGAAAAAAATGGCTCTAGATGGAAGAAGTGCACCAATTTGAAGAAAAAAGTAATATATAAGATTGGTTCAAAAATGCAGTTAAAATTAGGGGAGTGTTTAAGTCAGTTACTGACATACAGGGGGATACTATTCTTTAAGACGGTTGCACTTCTTATCATTGTTCATAATCTGCAAGAATTAATGTGAATAGGTATTTTCGATTGGTAAATCTGCGTTCGCTCTGTTAAATTTTGGTGCACAATCAAATGTTATGATCAAATATCATAACCAACATTAGAGTCATATAATATTTTTTGTTGACTTTACCTGTCAACTCATAAAAACAAACAGTTATTAATTTAACGGTAATCTTGCTAATCTGGTAAAATATTAATTGTGTCAACAATTAATGTCGAGTGTTATACATTTAGCTCGAGATTCACCAATCGAAAATGAAAATTGCAGTAAAAGTGAATCTCGAATAAAAATGTTACCACAAATTCACCAATCGAAACTCATAAATCCTATGATAGGTCCTTCCATACCGTTTTGTTGAATGCAACCGTTTTGTTAAATGCAACAGGTTTTTCCTGTCCTAGCAGCTTCGATACCAAGTTTCCTGCGCCATATATAAGCCGGCCGTCCTCTTTGTCGGCTTCCCTGCAGATTGCAGTGTATGACCATGAGAATAACATTGTCTTGAGTCCTCCTTAGTGTGTGGCCTAACCACTCCACTTGCGCATGGGTATGTCTTAAGAAACTTCTCTTTGGCTTGCCGCTTCTAAGAGTTTGTTATGTGATATAGATTGCAGCCAAAATATATTCGACGCAGACACCGATTGAGAAGATTTGCAGTTTTTGAACATCTGGCGGTGCTGCGTTCCATGACTCGCACACATACAACATCGTCGATTTGACGCTGGAGTTATAAATGTTCAATTTTGTGCGGGTAGACAGGTTACGAGACTTTCATACTCCCATCAATCAGCTATACACTTGTCTTGCTTGCCATAACCGATCAGCTTCGTGCTTTGTCTACTCCTGGTAATAACGCTGCCAAGGTAACAGAAATTTGTTTTCGCACAGTTGATTTCAAGCCCTACAAGTTTAACTGTGTCCGAAAGCTTGCGGAGTTTTTCTGACATATCCTCATAAGAGTAAATCAAAAGACAAATGCAGAGCAAATCCTAGCCCACTTTGTAGCCTCTGCCATCACTTATTGCTTTCTTCATTATTTCGCCAAGGATATTACGGAAAACGCGTAACCTTGCCTTACTCCAATCTGGATTCTTTTACTAAAATTTCTTGTATGAACACTCTGCAGCTGACGTTGACAAACAAGTAGCGTTGAATATGTTTGGGGTGGGAGCAAAATCGGAGCAAACATAAATAAATTAACTCTATATGTTACTGTGGAACTGAAAAAAACAATGGAAAACGAAGATATTCGATTCCATGCCTAACAAAATCAATAGTATTATTTCATATTTTAAAAATATCAAGTTACGATTAGCAAAATAGAAGAACTGGGGTATTTTTAATTAAAAATTTATTTTGGTGTTTTTTTTTAATATGTACCTATTATAAATCTATTTAGTGTAAGTTCATACATAATAGAAAAAGATTAATTTTAATGATTGTGGGTCAATATATAAACTTTTGAACGGTTTTGAAACTATGAATGGTAGAAAAATTAAGTGTGGCTTTTTTTGCGTTATATGTATTATGCCATTAAATTAACTGAATAACTATAGCAACTACCACAACCTCCAAGATGTTGGAAGGATTCGCTTAACATTACCACTTACCCTAAATCCTCAGAAATATGTTTTAATAGTCAGCACGTTGAAAGCCGAAATGTAAGATGCAGCTCCCTTTGTAACGCACAAATATTTTCACAAGTGTCAAATACTGCGGTAAGAATTTATTTATAAATAGTATAGACGACTTTACTAATATTTCTACTAATACTTTACTAATATTTGTAGGTCTTACCATATGTGCAGAAGTATAGTTGTAACAATACTCACGAGAATTCAATTAAAGTAAAACAACATAATACAAATATTCCAGTTCAAACAATGCATGTTACATATACTCTTGATAAAAATGTAAATCTATTTAAAATTTTATTTCTTTTTTTTTTATTGCCTAGTAATTTCAGACAGACAAGATAAACTCGTCAAATATTTCGGGTGAAAAAAACCTAATAAAAGTAACACATTCGTAGTATTATATCTTTTTGTTTGATAAATAAATTTATTTTTAGCTAAAAAAAACGGAGAAACCATACCGAACACCTAAAATCGCAGCAAAATTTGATAATACATATTCATCAAACTTAAAAGATTACGAGTAAAATATAATTACATAAATATATTACAAAATATTTAATTGAAATGTTTCAACATGCTATTAGGTCATTAGTGTACGTGATGTACACTATATACATATTCAAAAACTAAAAATATATTTAGTTTTCATTTATTTTTGTTGTGGACATTACTATAAGTATACCAACGACCTAATAGCCCATTAAAAATCATTTTAATAAATTGCTTTTATGGTTATTGACTTTATAATAGAAACTTTAATAAAAATATTATGAATTTAAACCTATATTCCAATTTTTTTAAGTTTACTAATAACTTATTCTAATTAATTTTTAATAGTTAAAAAATGTAAATATCATATAATATTAGGACACTCACGCCACTGTAATGTTAATATTGTAAACCGCACCGGCAAGTTCCAGATCAACTGTGTGATGGCATGATTTTGGAAGACATGGAAAGTGTGAGTAGATTTTGTTTTTTTTTTTTTTTGAGAGACAAAGGGTGGTCTGGTTTGCAGGAATAGTAAAGTGGCGTGATCGTACCAAAGAGATTTTGAGGAGAGCAGATGTAAAAACTAAATATAAGAGTTGTATGTTTCTAGAATTCGAACACTTAAGACAAAATACTATTAAATTTGTAATTTAATAATTGAAATTTGACAACCGAATTTAATAAAAAAGAAAAACAAAATTGGAAAAAACAGAAAACCTAAAAGAAAATTTAGAGTATTTTATTTCTTGTTTAAAAGGAGTTCTTAATACTGAACTAGCGGGAAATATATAACATTCGAATAATAATATTTACAACTTAAATTTAATTAGCCTACATTATATAGATATGTGTGAAAAAAAACTTAACTAAATGACAAATATTGAAAATAAATATAATAATAATAACAACAATAAGAAATTAAATTAAACTAAGCGAAGGGGAAATATCGTCGATGGAAACATAATTGAGTGTTCGAAATTGTTGGTTGACATTGAGACTTTTATTATAATTAATTCAAAATAAAATGAAATAAATGGAATGGGTGTTGTCAATTTAATTTGTAAGATAAATTTTATAATTTAAATAATTAAATTTTATTCAATTTTAATTTTTGTTAGCGCAGGTGAAATACAAAACACGTCTTACCTTCACGAACATTTATTAGAGAAGAAAAAAAAAAGTTACAGTAGTTGGATATAAAAGAGAGGTTGCCAATGTAATTAAAATAACCATTACATTTTCTGTCGCAAACAAATATCACTGCGGACTATTGATGTTTTTTTTTGCAAGTGTAAAACGTAAATAGTGAATTAAATTTATCACAAACAATCGAGATAGTGACTCTTTGTAGAATTATTAAAAATAATTGTAGCAAACACCGTCAAAAAATATTAATATATTTATATTGTTTTTTATTATGTAAAAAAGTGATTTTGATTTTGCAGAATTGCTTTGTTTTGAAGTATTATATTTGCCATAAATTTACACACATCTAAAAACAGCTGACAAAGACATCAAATAAAGCTCTGTAGCTTTAAATAGAAAGTGTTGGAGACAGACGTAAATAATCGTGTAACTATAGTGTAATTCTGTAATAATATAGCTCATTAATTAACAAATGCTAAATAAATAAAATAAATAAATACGCGAAAGGACGCTTAAAATATTAGATAAATTTTAAAAATAAACCTATTGTATGAGCGATTGCGAGAGAGTTTTACGTCGGCACTCGCTAATAAGTGAAAATGGTCTAAATAAACACTAAACACAGATGACTCTAAAATAATAGAACATTCCTCAGTTAAACCTTTAGAAAAACCAAAAATTGAAACAAATATAACTAAAATAGCTAGTGAAATTGCCATCGCTAATAAAATCAAATTAATCAATAATAAAAACGAAAATTTAAAAAATAGTTTTCCAAACCACCACGCAGCAACATCAAATGAATCGAACATGAACACGCGACAGGCACCAAGTAATACGACCTCGGGTCAACTAAATGAAAAAACAACTAAATCGGTTTCAGCCAAAAAAAAATGTGGAAATATACTGGCGATGAAGAAAGTGACAATCGGTAAGTAGCGTTAAAAGCACGCCAACAAACACTCCTATTTGTACAAAAAGCCGTAGTGAAACAACACAACCAGAATGGCAACGGGTAAATTCGTCAAAAAGAAGTCGTTCAAGTCCCCAAAGTGCTCGACAAAGTTTAAACATCAAACAAAAGAAACTGGATACCTATTAGTTGTCAACTGAACTAAAACAAAACTCTAACCGATATTCCGTGCTAGATGAAGACTCTCATTCATCAGAAAAGCCCAACGAGCAAAATGAAAAAACTGTAATCCCAAAGCCTCCTCCAATATATGTTGCAGGAGTCGGCAATATATAACTATTAAGGCAGCTTCTGAATGAAATAGCCCCTAACGAATATGACTTAAAAATACTTGCCAGCAATGAGGTTAAAATACAGCCTAGTAGCTCAGAAAAATACACCGTTATCACTAAGGCTCTTGAAGCCAAAAAAACAGAGTTCCATACCTACAAACTCAAACAAGACAGAAGTTTTAATGTTGTATTGAGAGGCATGCATCCTTCTATGCCAGTCAATGAAATCGAAGAGGCAATAAATAGTTTAGGCTTTAAGGTGGCAAACATAAGTAACATACGTCAGCGAACAACCAAAAATCCACTCCCGTTGTTTTTCATTGGCTTGAAACCGTCAGATACAAATAAGAGTATTTTTAACTGTAACAGCTTGTTGCATACAAAAAATTACATTTGAGGCTCCAAGAAAAAAACGCGAAATTCCGCAATGCTTTCGTTGTCAGCGCTATGGCCATACTAAGCATTACTGTAAACGAACGCTCTGCTGTGTAAAATGCCCTGGAAATCACTTAACATCAGAATGTACTCGTAATGTAGTGGACAGTGAAGTAAAATCTGTATTATGCAATGGAAATCATCCCGCTAATTACAAGGGCTGTCAAGTATATAGGCAGCTTCAACAAAAAGCGTTTCCACCTCTCCGTAGGAAAGAAGCCATTGGTCCACCAACGCGCACAGAATTCGTTCAAGCTGGTCGAACATACTCTAATGTCGTAAGTAATGGCCAAACCATCACTAGTGAACCACAAACAAACTCAGAAAACAATAATATGTCAGAGTTGAAAATGATGCTCAAAACACTAATGCAACAAATGAGTACTACCATATGTTAAATCTTTTAATCGCGTTTGTCGCTAACACTTCATAATAATGAGCACGTTTAAAATTGCTTTCTGGAATGTTAATGGGCTAGCTCAACATAGCAGCGAATTACAGACCTTTCAAACTGACAAAAATATTGATATTATGTTAATATCTGAAACCCACTTCAACCAAAGAAGCCATCTCAGAATTCCGAAGTATTCTATATACGATGCCAACCACCCATCTGGAAATGCTCGCGGAGGAGCTGCGATAATCGTGAAAAGCGATATTGATCACTCTGTGCACAACAAATACGAAAAACCATTTCTACAGTCAATATCATTAACAGTTAAAAACAATAAAGGTCCCATATGTATAGCCTCTATCTATTGCCCACCAAACCAAAAAATTAAAAGTCATCAGTTTGAGGAATTTTTCCACACGCTTGGTCAAACATTTATAGCTGCTTGGGACTTCAATCACACCAAGAGGCCGCGAATTGTTTAAGACTACGCAGGCCAACGATTTGCTTCACGCATCAACTGGTGAACCAACTTACTGGCCAACAGACCATAATAAAGTTCCAGACGTGATCGATTTTTGCATATTTAAAGGCATTTCTAGCTCATTATTATCGATACATTCCAGTTTAGACCTTTCCTCAGATCACTCCCCCCTTATTATGGAGATGAACTCAAAAATCTTTGTAAAGAACAAAGAGCCTCGATTATACAACAAAAGTACAGACTGTAGTATTTTCAGAAGCATCATAAATGAAAATTTACCAACAAACATCCCACTTAAAACCGGTAACGACATCGAATCTGCGATCGAGCAATTTACAGAATGCTGCGTGGAACTCAACCAAGCATTTCAATAAATACAAAGAAGATCACATAGACAGAGGCATAAAGGAACAATTACTTCAGAAACGTAGATTGCGACGAATTTGGCAAATAACAAAAAATCGTGAAGACAAAAGACGTTTGAATGAAGCGATAAAAACACTTAAAGAAACCCTAAGGGTGAACAAAAACATTGAAACATACCTATCTGCATTGTCTCCCAGTGAAGCATCCGACTATTCTTTATGGCGGGCCACTCGCAAGCTGAATGGATCAACGTCACATATTCCTCCACTCAAAATGTATAATGGACAGTGGGCTAGATCTAGAATCGACAAGGCTCAAATTTTCGCAGAGCATTTTCAAGGTGTATTTCAACCATACCCGTGCAGAAATTATGAAAACGACACTGAAATTAGGACTTTCCTTCAAACATCGCATCAAATGGATTATCCGGTTCCAAAAACCACAATACAATAAATTAAATGGACAATTAAGACCAAAATTAAAATCAAAAAGGCTCCTGGGTACGATTTGATCACTGGTAAAGTGTTGAAAGAGCTTCCAAACATTGGTTTTGTTTTCATCAACCAACTCTTTAACGCTATTATTATCCAAGAATATTATCCAAGTCAATGGAAAGTAGCCCAAATTATCCTGATACCAAAACGAGGTAAACCATTAGAGTTAGTTACATCTTACAGACCTATAAGCTTACTTCCAGCGCTCTCCAAAGTCTTTGAAGAAACACTTCTAAAGCGCCTTAATAATATCATCCAAAGTCGCTCACTAATTCCTCCTCACCAATTCGAAATCGCCACTCAACCATTGAACAGATAAATCGAGTTTATCAATATGCAAGAGATGGTTTAGAAAAACAAGAATACTGCACTGCAGCATTCATCGATATAACGCAAGCATTTGACAAGGTATGGCACACTGGACTGCTCTACAAACTGAAATTGCATCTACCACACAGCTTCTATTTGTTACTTAAGTCTTATATCAATAACCGATATTTCATGGTTAAAATAGAAGACTATAATACGAAAATCTTCCCGATAAAAGCTGGAGTTCCACAAGGGAGTGTACTAGGTCCAACCCTCTACACACTGTTCACAGCTGACTTACCACTTAATCCATCAACGTATACCGCAACTTTTGCTGATGACACAGTGATCATGGC